ATTCATAGCGTATAGTCACCCCGAATCCAAACTGAAAACTAAACAAAACCACTATTGGATCAAACAGCACCAAAATCAAACCAAATTACATGTGATTAATTTTTTGATTTCTGTTTGTATAATCAAAACGAAACTAAACAATCTCGAAATATGTTTTTCAAAAAAAAAAAAAAAACTCGAAATATGTAAATATTCTCTCGTGGTTCCCTTAATTATACAGTGCAACTTCAGTAATAGTAATACCAGTTGGTTCAAGCTTGAAATAAACACCATATTCAACGAGGATATAAATCAGTGATCGACGAATCATCAACAGACATTGGAACAGACTTGCTCATCGTGGATTGATCTGAATCAAGCGCATCTATTTCGGGTCTACTCTGAGCGAAGAACCCTGGTTGACGAGGCACTGGTAAAGTCACGGTATTACTAGTGAGCATCGTGAAAATGGTTCGCAAGGTCGGTCGTGCTACCGGATCTTCCTGAACACATAAAAGACCGATATGGATGCATCGAACCACATCACCTTTTTGGCAATTATCTACAATAATTGGATCCACGAGGTCAAATGCTGTTCCGTTACTCCAAAGCCTCCAAGCCTATAATGTTAGTCAATCAATCAGTACTTGCAACCATTCGTTATTTGTAAGAAAGGAAAATGTAATACTTTTGCTTATGCTTACATATGTCACCAAATCATGTGCGCCTTCTGCGTCGTAGAAGCTACTGTTCTTTCTACCGCTGATAATCTCAAGAACTAACACTCCGAAGCTATAAACATCAGATTTCATTGAGAACTGGCCATGCATCGCATATTCGGGAGACATGTAACCGCTGCAATCCACAACAAAACTTAAGTATACTGGAAAATATTGTTTGAGAAACTTACAACTTATAAGAAGTGGAAGACTTACTAGGTGCCAACTATTTTGCTTGTGTTCTCTTGGGTTTGGTCCATTCCAAAGATCCTTGCCATTCCAAAATCAGCAATTTTCGGATTCATAACCGCATCAAGGAGGATGTTACTCGCTTTGAGGTCACGGTGTATGATTGTGAGCCGTGAATCTTGATGAAGATATAGAATCCCCCGAGCAATCCCTCCAATGATCTTGTATCTTCGAGTCCAGTCCAGTTGAGCTTGCTTTGTAGGGTCTGTGTCAATTATTTACAGTTAAATCTAAAGATTTGCAACCCCAAGTTTCAAGAATGTCTAAAAAATCATTGCAACAAAGCAATAAATGAAACTGACCAGAGAGAAAGTAATCAAGACTTTTGTTAGGCACATACTCGTAGACCAATATCCTTTCTTCTCGTTCTAGAGAAAATCCAAGAAGCCTAACTAGATTTCTGTGTTGAAGCTTTGCAACAACCACAACCTCGTTCTTGAACTCTGTGTCACCTTGTCCTGATGATTTTGAGAGTCTCTTTACCGCAACTTCACTCCCATCCGAAAATGTACCCTATCCATTGCATCATCTCATTATCCAAATGTGTTGAAACAAGTTTCAATATAAGCTACACAACCTCAGCCCTGGTTAAAGAGTTACCTTGTAAACCTCTCCAAATCCACCTCGGCCAATCTTATTATTTTCTGAAAAATTATCTGTTGCAGCTTGGATTATTCGATAATCAAGTTGCAGCGACTCTACGGTTGTTATATCATCTCCTGTTTCACAATAAAGCCTTAGTAATCAGAATGTAAAAGAGTGACCTATCAATGGCATTAATAAACCCAATTAAGGTTGTTGTTAAATAAAATCATAGGAACCTTTACCATCAAAGGCTGGTGCAGTATTAGAAGTCTTCTTAGCCCTCCTTGCAAGGAAACAGTAACCAGCTATGAAAAGCAGAACAACCACTACAATAGGCACAACAATGGCTACCACTAAAACATTTGAATTTCCGCCTTTCCCTGCGTATCAAAGATCAATTGTTTAAGATCGGATAGTGGGCATATTAATTAAATCTCAAAAATCTTGCCTTGCGTATCAATCACAAGGGGAAAATAAAATAACTTTTCCTATAAAACAGGGCAAAAAACAGAGGAAGAACAAAGAGTTCACCATGTGGTGGAGGAGATGAAATCGGAGGGGGAGAAGTGGAGGCAGGAGGCGGTGGTGGCGGTGATCTAATGGCGGTTTCGTTGAAGAACGGGTAAAGCTCGTACCTTGACAAACAGCTTGGCCAGAGAAGCCTTCCTCCAAATTTGTTAAGAGGCATTCCATTGATGGATTCTTGAAGACAGCTCAAGCAGTCTTGTCTTCTAAGATCAGGAGTGCACTGAACCAGGCCGTACAAAGTCTGAAGTGCGGTCCAATTGGCCTTTATTGCATAGAATTTCCTAGAATTGCTTGCTGCTTCAAAGGCAGCTTGGTTCAGCGTGGACGAAACCAAATCTCCGAAACGGTCTTCTTGATTAGATGAAATATTATTGGGGTTCATCAAGATGTATCCTCCTCTGTATATAGGGGTCGATAGAATATTCACGTGAGAGTATCTGAGTATGCACTCCTCGTAATACAGCACGACTTCTTTTTCATTCGGACACCGATTTAAGGTCTCGTTGACGGAAAAGGCAACGCAACTACGGCAAACTTCTGGCGAGAGGTCTCCGCGGCAGAGGAAAAGTCCGGTTACCTTGTTGGGGGCTTCTCCTGCCGTAGCGTTTTGGAATCCGGTGGTGTATGAGGCGTTTCGGGAAGAGAGAGAGGACAAAAGGATTCTGAGATTGGTGAAGTAAGTGCTGTTTCTTGAATAAGTTGTTGTATTTGGACAAGATTGGTATAGGAAGGAAGGATTTTGAGCAGAAGCTGTGAAGCTTGTGAGGAAGGAGAAAAGGCAAAGGAAGATGAAAGACATGGTTAGGCTTCTTTGATTTGGGTTTCACATCATCAAGCTCGCATTTATAAAAGAATTTACTTTTCTTCACTCTGTGGCTACTGTAGATTAACGTGACGCAGACGCAGAGGATGGTTTCTGGCGACGACGTCAATCAAAGTCAAAGTAAACGCTTATATAAAATTTATTAAACAAACAAAAAAATTACGAAATGGGAAAATGATCTAAGAGTTGCCTTTAATCAAGAGGTTCGTAGTCCATCTTTACTACCTTCTTCAGTGGAGTCTCCCTGGAAAAGTGATATGCTCAAGTTTAAAATCTGAGAACTGCAAATGCATAACAATTGCAATATTATAAAAACTTTTCTCTATATCAGCTTCAATGTCTTTTAATAACAACAAGTGTACGTAGTAAACTTCTCAAAGCTTTTCAAATGGCACCGACTCAATTAATAACAAACATTTTTCATGGCGGAGTAAGATTGTTGAACCAAAGCAATGTGGCTTCAAATACCAAGTACTATATATGATGTTTGCGTGCATTCTGATCCATTTTAGATAATAATATTTGATGTAAAACTAAGTGATCGTCAAATTTTATGTATTGTGATTTGGGTTAATTTTCCAGAATCATGTTTAAAACATTTTGATGTTATGCAACTTTAGTTTTTTTTTTTATAAGACGTTTCTACAAATAAACCATCCAAGTGGTTAGAGC